TTTATTTAAAACTATTTGAGAAAAACAAAATCTTCCTTTCAGTCGTATAATCAATACTGTGTATTAACATAAGACACAGACATATGCCTTGTCGGGTCCTACAGGCTGATCAATATATTTTATTAATGTTATTAATTTTTATTTCAAAGAACATGTTACTGAACTTAGAAATGTATAAAGGTCACATGTCAAATGGATAAGGAGGTGTTTAAAAGAAAATGGCAATCAAACTTTTAACGTAATTTATATAATATGTCAGCCTGACTTAGTATACTCTACACGGGGGGCGGGGGGTGAGAGAGAGGGGGGGAGAGATTAAAGAATAGGTAGTTTAAAAGTTCATAGTGTAGTGAATGAACTTTTAAAGATGTACTTTTTCAACTCATATAAACTTAACCAGCTGTCTCATCAATTCCCACTGAGGTTTATATGGAATCATTTTTGTCTTCTTTAGAATAGGGAACCCAACCTTCTAAGACATGAGTGTCAAACTCGCGGTGTCATGTTGCCATCACATGATGTATCGCAATGTTTCTTTCCTTCATGCAGCTGGGGTGGGTGTGGCCTGCACATGACACATCCGGCTGCGGGATACCCATTTGACGCCCCTGATCCAAGACCTATTACAGATTTTTGCTGAATTTGATTGAACTCCATTTCTCAGATACCTAGGCTGTTTTAATCAACTTAGTAAGCTGTATTATTTTATTTGATTCATTTTCAGTGATATAAACATGCATTTTGCTAAAAGACCTGCTCTAAACTTTAATACATTTAAAACTGATAAAAACTCTAAGCTCACAGCTAAACTTCCAGTAGAGTGGTGCAACTAAGAGATTTAACCAGCTGACTCAGTCTCTTGAAACAGATCTTCCTTCTAATATGATTTCTCCCAAAGCACATCAAAATTATTATTCTGAAGCATTCACACTACCTACTAGCAAATTTTTCTAACATCTCCACATTCCAGTCAACCTGATTTCAAGCTGAATGTAATAAGACTATGTATATGTTTCACTGACAGGATTCAGAGACAGAACAGTTAACAGGCCTCCTGTAAAGGAAATAGCCATTTGGTTGACCTCTAAACTAAAGAACTGTATCTGAACTAAAGATTAGGAAAGTAGCAAAGTTGTATTGTGTACAGTGCAACTATCAGTGGCCAAGGAATAATCCATCCTTCATAACATAAGCTAGATGAGTGCTCTCTCTCACACACACTCTCTCTCAACCTCTATGTCAGTGTTTCTCAACCCTGCCAAGTAAGTTTAAGATGGGTGGACTTCAATTTCCAGAATTCCCCAGCCAGCCATGTTGGCTGGGGCATTCTGGGCATTCAAGTCCACCAATCTTAAACTTGGCAAAGTTGACAAATACTGCTCTTGATCATCCATCATGAATATTCCCTTAAACCCTAAGACAGTGCATACTCCATTTTTACTACCTGCTCTTTTTTGTTCCATACATTAAGGTTTTCAAAAACATCTTAAGTTAAATTTCTAAATGTGTATTAATATTACCTATATACATTCTGCCTGAAGGATGAATTATGGAGATGCAAGAATCCACAGCCATGCAATACAAAGTAAAGAGGGGGAAAAGAGATAGAAGTTACCAGAGGTTCTTCACAATTCTGATTATATAGGAATTATTTCTCTGAAACTGGAATTTCTGGAATTATTATTTCCAAAATATGTTAGCTGATTAAAACCAACCATAGGTAGTCATCACTAAAAAACCAAAATTGAGTCTGGCAAATTCTGTCACTAAGCAATGCTAATATCACATAACTGTAACAGACTTGCAACTTCATTCTGCCATGCCCATTAAGTGAATAACCCAGAACTATTAAGCGAAACTTATGACCATGACTTGTGATTTTACTGCTGACTTCTTCATTGACCTTGCTCATTGCAAGTAATCTATGAGGCATGTGAATGGTAAATTTCAATCATATGACTGCAAGGATAGTATAATGGTCATAAGTGTGAGGACCAGTTGTAAAGTTATTGCTAAATTTATTGGCTGCCCATCTCATTTGTCTGAAATGGTATACGGTTTCCTGCCTAAGCAGGGAGTTGGACTAGAAAACTTCCAAGGTCCCTTCCAATTTTGCTATCCTGTCCTATCCTATCCTATCCTTCATGGTTTGAGGCAACTCTTAGTAGCCAAGAATGTGGTAAGATATACAAATATCCAAACCATTATAAATATAAAAACAGATTCAAAGTTCAAAGCCTTTATTGTCATTGTATACAATGAAATTGGTTAAAATTGCAAAAAAAAAAAAAAAAACCAAACTAAAAATATAGGTTTGGAGCAGAGAGGTGGGAGTTCCTTCGTTAATGCACCAATCACCTGCAGCCAACAGCTTCTCTTTCAGGACCCCATTTTAATTTTTTTCAGTGCTGATGTAATTTCAAATGGTTGCTAAGCAGGGCAGTCATTAACCAAGGATTACCTTGATTTTGCATATATTACTTATTACTTTAATATTACTTTTTTCACAGAGTACCTGAGGATAATTATGTTGTGTTGTTTACAGTTTAGCATCCTTTCTCCTTTACCCTGCTTGCTTATTTTAGTCAGCTTTCCTGGTGATACAGTTATCTCAGTTTTCTAGTTTATATCTTCCTTCTTTGGGAATACAGTTGATTTGAGGTACATTAGCATTAGCTGTAAAAATACATTTTTGTCTTACTATTAGTCTCACCAGGATCCTAACTCACCCCAAAACCAACACAGCTTCTCTCCTGCAGATGTTATTTCAATTAAGCGGGCAGGGAGATAAGTCTTCAAGACTGTAATGCCTAGAGCGAACACAAAATCCCAGATATCCAGAATCAGAGTGCCCAAGACATCTACTATATATACTATAAGTTCAACCAATACAGATTCCATCCTTATTTTCTGATCTGAATTTCAACTGATTGACAGTGTCTCCATTTAAATTAGGCTTCAATTTGTGTTTCACTCAATTGTTCTATTCTGTCTAATATTATGACAGTAATTTAGAACCTGGAACAGCTTCTTTGGATTTTGTTGGAAAGGAAATAGACTTGGGGCATCAGATGCCAAAACTCAAGTAAAGTCTGCCAGTAGTTTCATGTATATCAAACCAGACAATTGGAGACAAACTTTTTTGAGCTGAGGGCTGCATTTCATTTTCAAACTACATAATAGAGATGACACTTCTAAACATGGTTCCAGAATAAAATTAAATTTCTTAATGTAACTAAAATTAATCACATCTAATCTAATTTCTCCCCATACAGTATACTTAATCAAGTCTCCTTTTCATAACACATTAAAATTATAATTCATCAGCAATTTGGGGATTATACTCAAAACTGTGGAGGGCTGCAGGATATAAATCTGAGCTATGGGGAAAGAATATAGCATAAAATAGACAATTACAAAAAGTTCTATGTTCTGAACTTTCCCTTTTGAGAAGAACTAGGAAAATGTAAGGAACAGATTATATGAGTTTATTCTTCCCCCCCATCCCAGTAAATAAAGAACTTTATTTTTAAACTGAACTCCATTTTAATGTTTCTTGCTCGCAGCTGCCACCTGTCCAGCAATCCTGTCCAGATCTCTCTGTACCTGAGGAATAAACTTGAGACCTCCCTCCTGGTCCTTCTCCACTATTTTGAGCCTTTCCAAAGCCTGGAGCTTGGCTAGTTTGATAGTTGGCTAGTTTGATTGTGTCCGCCCATTCAGGTACCTTTAGTTTACCTGTCTTTTTGAGAAAGGCTGCAAGTGCCCATGCAAACTCCTACTGGTTGATGTCTTTTACAGTTATTCCAGGCATCGTGTTGTCACCTCAGTGCTACCAGGCAGGAAAAAGCCATATAAGTTTATTCTTAAAGGCTACCAAATAGGCAATTTTACCAAATTTTGTTATATATGGGCCATAATGGAACAGTTCACTGGATAGTTCATTGGATGTCTCTATGCAGACTGAAAAATGAAGACAAGGTAATAGTTTACTTGTTGACACTAATTACCCATACAATTCTTGGATGGAGTGATTGGACACCTCCAGTGTCCAATCTAGAATTTCCTATCAATATTATTCTATTGTCCTTCTGCTAGTTTAACTACACTTCATTCCCCTGAGCTGATATGGTCTATTCAGAACAGAGCCTTCAATAAAGGCGTGATGATTAGAAGATAGCCCAGAAGGCTAGCCAAGAAATGGTATGTCTCTGCAGATTAGCACATTAAATTTACCACTCTTTATGATCAGAGCTCCCTTAAGACCATTCATCCAATACTCTGGTACTATGAGGGATGTAGAACTTCTTGAAACAATAACAGCACCTGCTGCTGCCTTTGTTATTATTATTTTTTCTGTCAAAAGAGCACTCATGGCAATTAAGTAATCTCACGTGAGAATTCTAGCCTGACCTAATTAAAAACATTTGGTTTCTCATCCAGGAAGTATTTGGGGATAGGACAATATGGACACAAGGGGGGGTATCTTCTCCCCCCCCAAAACATACCTCCGAATGTTTTATTTAATTTTTATGTTTTATTTAATTTTTATCCTGCCTTTATTACTTTATAAGTAGCCCAAGGTGGAGAATATACATAATACTATTTCCTCCCCACTCCTCCACAACAATAACAACACAACAACAAAATGAATGAGACCAGAATGCTAAATCTTAGAGAAAAACCTGGATGAAGCTCAATAACTATATTTTCCATTAAAAAATGGGGGGTAAAGACCAACCCACTAAAAAAAGTCAATGTTAATTAGGCAAACTGAGCAAAGAACACAAATACATCCTTCCTGATACAGTGTAAGGAGTATATGCAGGAACATGAAGAGCCATCTATAGATATAATTAATGCATAACTGCAAGACATGAGAAGATTCCAAATATTTTACAGGTTGAGAAGGTTAAGTAATTTCCTACACATCTCAGTCTTCCTCTATAGCCAAGACCAAAAGAAGTTTTTCAAAAGACAGTTCTGGGCTATGGACTCACCGAGGTATTCTGACATTGGATGCTGCTACTGTTGAAACGCAGGGCAGTAACACGGGAGGGGTTCCCAGGGATATGGAAGATGCATTCATAATTGCGCTGTCCAGACTGTGGCTGTGGCAGGTTTTTGGCGGTTAAAGTGATAGGCTTCACCACACCAACAGGGATATAGATCTGGGTGCTTGGAAGGATCTGTGGGCAGTCCTGTGAGAGAGAAAGATTTAAAAAACAGGTTTTACATATTTGTTTCATGTCTGATAGCAACGGTGTGAGCATTAATAGCAATCTAATTTACAGTACTAGTTTACTGTGTTTAGCTTTGAAATAAGAAATCAGCTGCCACAAAGAAAAGGGAGTCAAAGCTATTTTCCAAAGCACCTGAAGGCAGGACAAGAAGCAATGGGTGGAAACTAATCAAGGAGAGAAACAACCTAGAACTAAGGAGAAATTTCCTGACAGTTAGAACAATTAATCAGTGGAACAACTTGCCTCCAGAAGTTGTGGATGCTCCAACACTGGAAGTTTTAAAGAAGAGATTGGATAACCATTTGTCTAAAGTGGTGTAGGGTTTCCTGCCTAAGCAGGGGGTTGGACTGGAAGACCTCCAAGGTCCCTTTCAACTCTTATTCTATTGTTATATAAGGTTAACTTTAATGTGAATATGATAGCATTAACCACTTTATAAAGCTATTCATTTTAATTAAACATAAAGCATAAAGCAAAGTTGTTATTCAAATGACACACTTCGCTAGTGACTGATCTACATTTGGAAATGCTCTCCATAAAAGATTCTCCTTGCTATCATCCTACTTTTCAACTAATGAAGATCCTCCAGTCTGTTATTTTCATATTTTACTCTTCCTCACCTGGATGCTCTCAACATTTGTGGTTTCCTGGCATTTTTTTCTACTAACTCAGCTTCTTCTTCCCTTACCAGTCTTGGTTTTTTGTCAAAGCCTTTCCAGAATTCTGGATCATGCGCTTTCCTACTGCCCTGAAAGAGCAGTGAAGTGATCTGTCTCCAATTACTCCAGTTTGTATAAGCATTATTCCCAGACCACAAAAATGTCTGATTCATGACATCTCTGCTTATAGATAACAAGACCATTTAATGATTCAAAATACAGCTCATAAAACGTCATGGTTGTGCTCATGTTAACCCAAGTCATCACTGTTAGGTACAATTAATTACAAAATTCTGCTTTGGGTTTGGTTTTACTTCTGTGATATTTACACATCTCTAGATCAGAAGATCACAAATACTAATACTAATGTTACTGCTCCTCCCATCCTATCAGTGGAAAAAAGTACTAATACTTAGCTTTGCATATTATCATGGAAAGGGTGTATTAGAAATGGAACAGCATCTCATAGCCTAATGACATTCCTGGGCAGAGCCCTCAATGGGTGGGTGGGGGAACAGTAGGGATTCAAGGAAATTTAAGGGCATGTTAACAGCACCCTCTGGATGTCTGTCTTGTACAGATATCCGATCATAAAGCACACACCTGTGGGGTTGTTCCTTACCACCCTACTGGTCTCTCAGACTCAGAAAACTCTCTAGGGCTCAGTTTACTTTATCTATTTCATGGATATATAGGTATACTTCAAAGCCCTGGATGCAGACACCATTTTATGTTCTTGTGTAGGTGCTAAAGGCAATGCCAGAGATAATTAAAAATATAGCTTATAGATCAGATTACTTCTGAGTCTGGCACCTTGCTTTGCCACACACTGATTTCTAGAGATTTGCAAAATGGTTTGAACATGAACCTCTTGGAGCACTGACCTTCTAATGATTCATGCATGAAGCGAACGATGCATAATCCAAAATAATGTAGTATGGTATTTTGTTTCAGACACAGACCAACTTGAACTTTTTGTAGGTGGGAAATGTTTTGAGAGTGAAACCATTCTGGTTAGTGATGTCATTGGAAACTGTCTTGCCACTTGCAATTCGGATGTTATTTTTCTGGCCAAGAGAATCCTGGTTGTCAACCCTACTAGATAGAGCAGACCAGAAAACCAATAGGAAGCCATACTTTACTGAGAGAGGCTATAATAACTGTATCGTACAAACGTAGACCACGTCACTTAATTCCCTCATCCCTTCCCTCCATCCCCTCTCTTTCTAACATACCATAAATCTCTCTGTTGCTGAAACACTTCAAACTCTTATAAATTTTATTTAACAAAACATGGAACACCCAATTTACTTTGAATTATGTTACATCCAATCACTAACAATTCAAAATAATTTCCTTCAGAATAAAATTATTTGTTTCAAGATTTGAAAAGTTTTTTCATGTACACCTCTACTAATTTTGGATGATAATGATGTTGTTATTCAAAAGAATTTTAAAAAATGAAAACAGGTAGGAGATTTTCATATAAGTCATAGGGGCATCATGTGGATGTCCAAGATAATTATTTCTCTTTCTTTCTTGCTTTACTATTCAAAGTGCTTTGTTAAGCAGAAGTAATTATTTGTGGAAATATGGCCCGTAACAAATGCTACATAACAGGGATCACAATAGACATGTATTTGGAATGATTGGGTTTTCATTTTTTCTTGTGTGCCCATTGCAAAGAGAATAAAAAGGGTTTGCAACACAATGTAGGCTGACAGTTCTGTCACAAAAGCTGCCAGTGAATTAAAAAAAACAGAAGGACCTTCGAGTATCAGACAAGCTGTTTACCATGGTATTTCACTATTCAACTTGCTATGAAAGGAAAGGCCAAGGCAATGTTGACAAGAACACTAGAGAAAATCAATGCAGTACAGTGGAAATAACACTGGAGAAAGCACTTCAAGCCAAGTTTGAATTTATCATCTGCTATGAAGCTCATAAGGTAGACGTGAACCACTCTATTATCGCTATCCTATCTCCTAAGCTAAACACATTTATCAACGTATAACTGTGCCCAAATAAATAAAACGTATCACAGCTTAACCTGATGGCTTGGTTTACACTTACTGAGACTCTAACTGAGATCTCACAATATGTCGAACCTCAAACCATGCAACTTCACTTTAGCCACATACGGAGGGAAAATCCACAGGCTTATGAGAGAATAAAACAAATATGAATGACGGCAAATATATATGTCCCAGGATAATGTTGCAGGATCCAGTCTGGGTTGATCACTGGGACCAGAGCCTTAATCTTCCAAGCTGTCATACTCATGCTGGAGCTCACCCTCAGGGAACTACATATTCGGATAGAAATTCTCTGAGGATGGGCTCCCATAAGAGTTCAAAAGCTTGGAAGACTAACTGTCTGGTCCTGGTGACTGACCCAGATTGATCCTGCAAAACAAATATGGTGGAAACCATACATTGAAATTTAAGTTCCTTAAATGTAGGCTGAGATACAAATATTAGGTATGATACTGGGTAGCATAACTAAGAAATCTGGCTTTTGCTATTTAAGGATGCACTAATCTAAGGGTGCTGTTTCTCCAAGGCTTAACCCAAATAAAAGGCAACATATACCAAATAAATAGCAAGATTAAGGGTATAATATCTCTATTTATTTAGTAGCACATGCCCTCTGAAAGCAACAATAAAATCTATAAAGGTGCTTAACTTTATCATTTAGGTGGTTAACAAATGTTAACTCCTCCTTGTTGACCGTACACTATGTCAAACAAGCCGCAGAACAACAAGATGGGATGTGGATCCTGACAAGCCAAAATATCAATCTTCCTTTTTCTGCCTGTCTGACCTAGAAATACAACCTGACCTAATATTAAAAAAAAAGAACCTTCAAAAACCCCAAATCTATTACAAAGTTATTTTTCAGAAGATCATCCAGCTCTGTCTAGCAGGACTCGGCGCATCTCCCCATTACTTTGTGATACCAATCACCGGCAACAAATCATGGTATCTCTGGATGCTCTGGTGGAAATGCTGCAGTTACATTTGATGGAAACCAAGATTCATTTTTGACTGAGCCAAATGCTCAACTACCATCTGAGTCATGGGTGAGCTTTCCCAATTACCTTCAACAAGTGGCTGTTCAGCAGCTGGCAAAGTAGAGGCCAAAAGCTCTTCATACCACTTTTTGCTCTCACACTACCATCTTGGCTTTCCAAAAGCCTAGCTGCAATACTCAAGAGAATAGAGGAGAATAAAAATAAACAGGACCAGCCAGGAAAACAACCCTGGATCCCAGAAGGGTACCACTTCAGCAATAATACCCTGATGCAATACCCAGATTAGCCAACCTAAAGGGCCTAATGGCAAAGGCATTCCTGTCTTAAATAGCAGAGTGAGAAGAGAATAACATGTTTTCAAGCTAAGTGTTACAGACTTCAAAAACTGGCCTTAGGAGCCTAAAGATATGTATGCTCATTGGGGACTTCCTTAGAGGCAAACTAGCATACGCTTAAATTTAGCACAATTCAGAAAGGCTTATTCTATAAAATACAGCATATAGCAAAAGCTAGAAAGAGGTGTGTCTTTCTATACCAGGAATGACTGCCAAATATCCAAAGGCCTGGTATCTTAAAGAACTTTACAGGAATTCTCACCAATCTATCCCTTGTGTCAATGAACTATCAAAACTACAAAAACAAACAAACTAGCTCAGAATAGTTGGCAAATGCCTCCTCCCTCTCTCTAAGCTCCATGAATATTGAGTTTCTGGTTTCTAAAGTTCAAACAAGTTTTTCTCACTTTTTTTTTTCAGATGAATTCAACATCCTGTTCCTGTTGCCTCAATACTCCTGAAAAAGGGACATGTTGAGAAATTCATTATTAGCTATGAATTTGATTATTACTGCTCTCTGATCTTGGATAACCAAATTCATGGGACATCCTTTTAAATGGGCCAGAAGTATATGCTATTATAACTACGGAGAGTCCTTAAAAGTGCCTACAAAGCAATCTGACACAAAATAGGCCTCCTCAGATGCCTAGACAAATACAGTAAATGAGCTAATGTCTTTTTCCATCCTAAAGATATACACATTTTAGTGATTTTTCAGCCAGAAATGTTCCAATCCTGCTATGTTATATTTGGCATATATAGGGAATAGTGCCTAATTAAACAAAAATTCTGCTGTATTGAAAAACAGGAAGCACCTGGTACCTATTGATTTTTTTTTCTAGAGAGCTTCATGACTCAGCATTCATGACACTGGAGTGAAAGTTCCTCAGAAGAAATGGCTCTGAAGCTAGTTGGGTTTTGTTCCATGCT